GACCCAGCAGCTCAATTTTTAAAAGCAGATTTATGGAGATACAGTTCATATATCATACAATTCACCCATTCAAACTATATAATTCAAGGGTTTCAATGCATGCACAGACATGGGTCACCATCCCCTCAGAAAGTTATACTATACTCCTTAGCCATCCCCCACCCCCGTATAACCTCCCAGTATCTGCCTTCCTGGCTAGTATTCACAGCAGTCCTTTGTCTGTGACCTCAATTCTTTGCAAGATCAAGAGGAATTGCTGATTTCCAGTTTGTTGAGACTGTTTTCCTTGTTGTAAAAAACTGGGACTGACAACTTCCCAGAGTTTTCTATGTCAGACAAGAAACCAGAAGGCTGCTCGGTTAATTATTCTTTGTTCTTTTTTCCCCTTCTGTTCTCAGAATGTATACTAACGATCTAGCTTCAAACTTACTGATTCTTCTGCCAGCTTAAATTGACTGTTGAGCCCTTAGAGTGAATCTCCATTTCAGGTACTGTTACCTTTCAATGCCAGAACTTCTTTTTTTTTTTTTTTTAAAGGCTGTTGACCGCCGGAAGAAGCATTTCCGGCAGCGGGCTGATCTTTTTTTTTTTTTTTTTTTTTTAATATTTTTTTTATTTATTTGAGATACAGACAGTGAGAGAGAGCATGAGCGAGGAGAAGGTCAGAGGGAGAAGCAGACTCCCTGTGGAGCTGGGAGCCCGATGTGGGACTCGATCCCGGGACTCCAGGATCATGACCTGAGCTGAAGGCAGTCACTGTACTGAGCCACCCAGGCGCCCCTCAATGCCAGAACTTCTACTTGGCTCTTTCAAATGATGTTTACCTACTGATATTCTCTATTTGATGCATTCCTGTCATAAACATAATTTCCTTTAGCTTTTTGGAACTCTTAAGAGCTTCTTTGGAGTCTTTGCCATGTAAGTTCAAAGTTTGGGCCTCCTCAAAGTAGTTTCAATTGCCATTGTTTCTCCTGTATCGAGAGTGACAGTACTCTGTTTCTGTGCATCTCAGTTTTTGAGATAACAAAGGTTGGTGTGGCAACTTTGGATTCTGATACATCCCTCTCAGGGCTCATCGATGTCACTCTGTTTTGTTAATTTTGTTAGTTGGCTTCCTGGCTTCCCTGGACTAGTTTCTGTGGAATCCGTTTTCCCCAACAGTGTGTCATGTCTGAGGTCAGTGCTCAGTTTCCCCACGGGCTTCCTAGAAGTCACCCCGGCTCAAAAACTGTAGTGTCCAGCCACTGATCAATCAGAGGTTGTGCTTAAGCCCCATGAGCCAGTAAGGCTTCCACTCCATGTTCATAGATCTGTGTATGACTTGGGGAATTCTCTCAAGCCTGCCCCATGTCTAACAGTGACTAGCACCTTTCCAAGTGCCTGTCTGGTCTGTCCTTGATGTGTACGTGATACCTAGACAGGCGTACAGCCTTCCAGATGGATTACTGTAACTACGACTGTGCAGGGCACTTTTTAGCTATTTCCCTGGTTCTTTCTGTTAAACTTCTGGATGGCCTGCCATTTCATTTGTTGTTACTTGTTTTATAGAACTAGTAGAGTTATAATTGTTTACAAATAAGGTATCTATTTTCACCAATGTCTAAGTCACACATTCCTCCCACTTTGTACCAAATAAAGGCAGCTCCTTCTGTGGAGCTGCCGCCCTCCCTTCTTGTCTCTCCCTTTGGACAGATGTCTCATGGCTCCAGTGCAATAGAAGAGCTGGAAGGAGCAGCCAATTTTTCCCGGAGTGACACATCTACCCTACAAGTGGAGCTGTGGAGACTTCTTGGCTTCTCCTCTTGGCATGGAAACTCCACCCAACCAGTGGGATTTGGGAGGAGAAATGGGAGCCCAAGGTCTTTTTAAGTCACTCCTTCCAGGACAGAACCTCTGCTCTGTAAGTGGGACCTGGGAGAATGATAGCTTGCTATCCTTTCATCTTGCTCCCTGGCATGAAACATCGGCCCTACAAACTAAAGCATGTTGGTTGGGATGGAATCAGGATCCCAGTGTCCTTGGCTTTCCTTGCCTTAGGCAGAGCCTCTGCTGTACAAGCAGGGTATAGGTTGGGCATGGAAGCCCCAGTCTTCTCAGCTGCAGCTAACTAAAATTGAGCTACTGTAACATGGAGCCAGATTGGTATATGTGGCTCTCCTTTGAGGATATCAGACTTGGAGGAGATTTCAGACCCTTAATAGGATCTTTTTTCTGAGTCCCTTTATTTCACTGAAAAGATTTATCAGGTTGTTGATATTTAAAGTCTTTTAGGGGTGTGTGGTTGGCTCAATCCGTTGGGTGTCCAACTCTTGATCTCAGCTCAGGTCTTGATCTCAGTGTTGCGAGTTCAAGCCCCATGTTGGGCTCCACGCTGGGTGTGAAGACTATTTAAAGAATATTAAAGAAAAAATAAAGAAAATAAAGTATTTTAAATCACTCTCTTATTACTTGAAGTCTAGGATAGTTGGTTTGTTTGTTTTTTTTTTTTTAACTCTGTAAGACTCCAAATGTCTGAACTCTATTTGCTTTCATTTCATAATATTTTGCCCGAGATGATCTCTTTCTTGTAATCGTTTGCCAAAGGCAGCTAATATCAGTCAGCAAATCTTACCAATATTCTGTTTTCTAATATTGAGGTGTCAGCACAGTAGGCTTAAGTAGAGGAAGGCAATTTTATCGTATGTTTTGCCAGTTGGTCACCATCTTTCCAGGCTCTGACATCAGTTTTCTCTCTGCCCCAGTATTAGGCCAATGTTACCTAACTTAGTTTTTGTTACATTAGCAGTACACTTCTAGAAGCGACCCCTAAACAAAGTGGCTTAATACAGGAAGGAGGCAGGGCAGTCATTCCAGTGGCACACCCTTGTGAGAATGAAACAGAATGATACATGCACCCCCGCCACAGACCTATCCCTTCCATCAAAGCCCTGATCACAGTGAATCGTTTCCTTATCTGTTTAATTACAATAGGAACTCTAATTATACCCTTGGAAAATACAAAAATAGCTAACATCTTGTGAGCACCATACATACATGTATAATCCTTGCACTGGCCCAAGAAATCATGACACTATTCTAATTCACCAAAGAGAATATGAGGCTCGAAACAAATCCAGAATCTAGATCTAGCTGGCTCCGGAACGAGAGCTCTCCCAACACCTTCTGTATGTTTCCTGTCTGTACTCCTAAATCTCTGTTAAAACTCACTTCCAAAGAATGAAGCTCCATCTTTAATTAATAAATAAGGAACAAGTAGATTTCTAATACCATAGATAGTCATATGTGAATTTGCAGGATATCTCCACAAGTTTAATTTTTAAAAATGAATGATTCTCTGGGGTGCCTGAGTGGCTCAGTCAGTTAAGCATCTGCCTTCGGCTCAGGTCATGATCTCAGGGTCCTGGAATCAAGCCCCTCATTGGGCTCTCTGCTCAGCAGGAGGCCTGCTTCTCCCTCTCCCTCTAGCTGCTCCTTCCCCTCTTGTGCTCTCTCTCTCTCTCTCTGTCAAAAAAATAAAATCTTTAAAAAATAAAATAAAAATGAATGATTCTCTCTGGAAAAAAATCCCTACATTTCTGAATTCTAAAATCCTTATTAAAGTATTTCTTACTATTCTATCAAAAGGTGAATTAGGAAATGCCAAATAGACAGAAAAGGTGCACAGTACAATGAACCCACATCATATTGTTGGGTTATGGAGTACTTATAATTTGTATCTCCCACTTTATGAAGTAATCCAATGAAAAAAAGCAGTAGCATGTGTATTAGTTTGCTAGGGCTGCCATAACAAAATGCCAAAAACTGGGTAGCTTAAGAAACAGAAATTTGTTTTCAAACACTTCTGGAGAATAGAAGCCCAAGATCAAGGTGCCAGAACGGCTGGTTCCCTCTGAGGTCACCCTCCTGCTGTCTCTTCACAGGGTCTTTCCTCTATGCACCTGAATCCCTAGTGTCCTAATCTCCTCTTATAAGGACACCAGTCAGATTGGAGTAGGGCCAACCTCGTGGCCTCATTTTAATGTCACTGCACTTTAGAAGCCCTATCTCCAAATAGAGTTGCACCCTGATACTGAGCATTAGGTCTTTAATTAGGGAAGACAATAACAGTATGTAAGAAGAGGGTAATTTAGTCACTGAAAACAATTATTTAAACCAGAGTGAATGTTGTAAGAAGATGTGGCTATTTTCTTCCACTCATTCTCGTATACCTATATCATATGTATGTACGAACAATAATAATACATTGTCATATTCTTTCATTGATCAAAAATCAGAAGTAAAATATATGTGTGTATATATACACATACAAATATATGTGTATATATACACACATACAAATATATGTGTATATATACACACATACAAATATATGTGTATATATACACACATACATATATACATACATATATATGTGTGTATATATATACACACACATATGTATAGCAATCAACAGAAAGAAGTTTTTATTTTAGACTTCTGAAATTTTTTAATTGAAGTATGGTTGACATATAATATTAGTTTTAAATTCTTGAATGACATATTTTGTGTTAAGTAGAAGAAAATAGTATTATTTAATGTGGAAGACCTTGGTCGATGTCATTGTACTTGCAATACTTACTTTATATTCATATTTATGTTAACTTCACATGTAGAATTCCAATATATGATTTATGTTCTGTGGTGCATAACATATTATAATACAACTAGAACTATAGTGTTTTCATACTTTGCAGATTGTCCGTGTATGCTTTTCTAATTACGTTCTGATTAGTCCACTTACGAATACTCCAACGGTCTTTATAGGCCACAGTGAGCATTTATACTTTAACATGGGTAACATCTGAAACAAAAATAAAGCTGCATGCTTTAAAAATATATTGAATTAATAGGGTTGACTTCTCGATACATATAAGATTTGATTTCTCCTGAGGCTTTTGTTTGAGGATATTCCCATATTAGTTTCTCTTTTAAGGAATTTTTTCTTTATGAGTCCTTTTATGTCAACAGAAGGCTGAGCTATGTCTGAAGGCTTTCCCACATTGATTGCACTCATAGGGCTTTTCTCCTTTGTGAGTTCTGTGATGTATACTGAGGTCAGACTTCTCAGAAAAGGTTTTTTTACACTCATTACATTCATAAGGCTTCTTCCCAGTATGGACTTTCTGATGTCTCATAAGGCAGGACACTTCACTGAAAGCTCTCTCACACCTGGTACACACATAAGGTTTCTCTCTTGTGTGTATTCTCTGATGTACAAAGAGGTGTGACTTCATGCTGAAGGCTCTCCCACATTTATCGCACCCATAGGGTTTCTCTCCAGTATGAGTTCTCTGATGAATGTTGAGGTGTGATTTTTGAAAAAAGGCCTTCCCACACTTATGGCATTCATAGGGTTTCTCCCCAGTGTGGATTCTCTGGTGTTCGATGAGGTGTGATTTATGGGCGAAAGCTTTTCTATGTTCAGTACACCCATAAGGTCTCTCGTGCGTATGGATCCTCAGATGGATAACAAGATTGTATTTCTTGCTGAAGGCCTTCCCACACTCCGTACACACAAAGGGCTTTTCTCCTGTATGAGTTCTCTTATGCATAATGAGGTCTGACTTCTGGAAGAAGACTTTCCCACATTCGCTACATTCCTTCTTTCTTGCATATGTTCTGTTACCATTAAATGAACCCAAATAATTCAAACTCCTGTCACAGGAGTCATATTTTTGGGGTCTTTGTTTGGAAGAAACAAAGTCTATGCTCGGAGGAAATATATTTCTAAGTGCATTATACTTGTTCCCCTTTTTCTCTGTCACAGTTTCCTGGTCGATGAATGCAACATACTTCAAAAGTGTTTCTTGGTTCTCTTGCTGCCTTTCCAAGTGGTCATCAAGATGCCAGACTTCTTCTATAAGGAAGCATAATTAGCTATATGTTTGTGAATATTTCTGCTAATGTATTATGGCTCATAACTTTTCACCCGATTGTGAGAATGAATCTTTACCTTAAGGCTAGTATCCCTAACAAATAGAAATACCAAGTTTAATGGAATCTATACCCTTGAGCTTTGTAAGAAAACCACAACTTAAAAAAAAAAACCACTACATTTGCAGAAACAGAAACAGAGAATATGACCAAAAACACAAATATATCTTGCTATATGCAAATAGGACTTCGCAAACCAGGAAGAGAAATGAAAATGATTACAAGGTGCAATAAAAAGGGGAAAAGGAGGACAGCTCTTATGGGGTCCACAGGAAGAGCCCATCTAGAGAATTACAATGACTGGGTGAAATGGTGATTAGAGGAAGTAAAGGAGACACTGGAGGAGGAACAGAGAGATCTGAGCTGGTGCCTCATCGACTCATTGGATTGCTCCAGTTTAATCCTCACACATCTCTTTGCTTCCAGTGTCTCTGAGCTCTTGTCTATTCATCCATCAACGTGAAGCTGATTTGACAAAGCCATCAAGCCCGCTTGCAAGCAGGAACACCTTTGTAGCCAGTGCTTCGAAAAGCTGTAACAGTAATTCGTTCTTATATGGGTTTGAGGGCCCAGGAACTTGTGTGTCCAGTGAGAGAGAAATAAGCCACAGGATAAGCCAAATACTACCTGCCTCAGGGTTAGATGAACCATCGAATTCTCACTGCTGAGTGTATCATCTTAGTCTAAAATAGTTCACAGACACTGCATTAATCCTGACTTTTCAATACTCTCCCCACCTTCTTCTCTACTTACTATATATGGAAGAGGAATCACAGTTAAGAACACCGGTACTAAAAAAAAAAAAAAAAAAAGAACACAGGTACTGAGTCCAGATTACCAGGGTTTCAATCCTAGCTCCATCACTAATTAGACATGTAACACAGGTCAAGTTCCTTGATGTCTTTGGGAGTCGACTTCCCCTTCTATAGAAAAGGATAACAACAGTACCTACCTCGTAGCAATGTCATGAGAATTAAAGGAGTCAACAGATGTAAGGTACTCAGAATACTGCCTCACACATAATACGTTTTGTTCGTGAGACACCATTATTATGTGTATTATTACTGACAACTATGTGCTTGCCACTTTTGCTTTACATCATGTTTTTCAAATTTCTGGATTCTGTTAATGTGGAGACGCTAAGCAGCAGATTTCTCACTCTGGATCTAAAATCCTATCTGTCTTCACTTTCATCTATTTTGTAAACCTCTGACAGTATGTGACTACTGTTCAACTTATGCTACCTACATCCAGAGCAATAAAGTCATTCCTTGGCTCAGAATTCAAAAATTCTCCGGAACTTCCTAATCCACTTCCTGACATATAAGCTATCAGTCTTTAAAGACAGTGAGTAGATTTCCATTCTTTATCCAGCACTGGTTCCCCAGAGGTTAGACTAGACACCTCTCATAGGAAGATACACAGATGGCGAAAAACACATGAAAATGTGCTCAACATCACTAGTCATTCAGTGCAAATCAAAACCACAAAAAGATACCACTTCATACCCATCAGGACCACTGCTAGAAAAACAAAAAAAAAAATAACAAGTGTTGGTGAGGATGCAGAAAAACTGGAACCTTTGTGCACTGCTGGTAGGAATGTAAAATTGTGTATGGTAGCTGTGGGAAAGGTCACAGCAATTCCTTAAAAATGAAAACACAGAGTTACCACATGGTCCAGCAAATTCACTCCTGGGAGTATACCTAAAAGAATTGAAAACAGGGGCTCAAACAGATATTTGGACATCAATGGTCTTAGAAGCATTATTCACAGTAGCCCTAAGGTGGAAACAACTCAAATGTTCATTGCAAATGAACGGATAAGCAAAATGTGGCATATACACACAAGAGAGTACTATACAGCCCTGAAAATTAATCGAATTCTATCACATGCTACAACATGGATGAACCTCAAAGATAGTATACGAAGTAAAATAAATCAGACATAAAAGGGCAGATACGGTTTGGTTTCGTTTATATGAGGTATCCAGGATAGTCAGATTCCTAGCAAAGCAAATAGAGTAGTGGTTAGCGTAGCCAGCAGGGAGGTAGCATGTGGAGTTGATGGTGATGTTGAAACAGCTTTGGAGGTGGATGGTGGCAATGGTACCACATCAGTGTGAATGTACTTAATGCCACTGAAATGCACACTTAAAAACAGTAAATTCTATGTGATGTTTATTTTGCAAAAAAAAAAAAAAAAAAAAACTCCTCAAAGTCTTAAATGAAGTTGGTAAGAACCACAGGCAGAATATACCTGGAAGGGAAAATGTGGCTCTCTAATAGCCATGCAAAGAGGGCACAAATATAGAAAGCTGATCTGTGGAAATAGCATTCAGGTAAATAAGGAAATTATGCCAACCGTCCCAGCTATTTTCAAAGGTCCAAGGGCTTCAAGAAGAGAGTCCTGAAGCATATTTTTCAAAGATGCCAACCCTTACTGATCAACTGTGATCTTTTTTAAAAAATTCCTTTTAAATTCCAGTAAATATATAGTGTTGTATTAGTTTCAGGTACAACAGAGTGATTTAACAGTTCCGTGTATTACAGTGCTCATCGTGACAAGTATACTCTTAATTTCTTTCCCCTGTTTCACCTAACCTCTGGTAAACATCGGGTCAACTGTGATCTTAATTTCATTCCCTTCCAGCCACAGAGCCCTTTAGCTAACTCACCTGCATGGCTCCAACTTGGGATTTCTCTCTCCATCATCCATGGTTCTTCACCTTGTTCCAACTTGTGGATCACAGATGGCTTTGTGGTTTGATATCCTGTCAATGGGAAATGATATGGGATTTGGACCTAGCTACCTGGGCTTCAGGTCCTTCGAACCCTGAACTTTTTCAGGGACTGCCTGATGAAGGTACCCATTTGTACCTGAAAAAGAGAGGTCTTTAAGCAAACCTGTAGCCATACCTCCCAAAGACAGTCAATCTTAAATCTAATAAGACCCAGAGCCATACTTGTAAAAGTACTTCAAAGGGCTGATTATTTGGAGCAACTGAGAAAGGAAAAGTAGTTAACTAGGCACATGCCATCAACACTGGGAAGTGGTCCTTACCCACTGAGATGAGGTTGATATAGTTCTCTAGCATTACATCCCTGTATAGATCCCTCTGGGGAAGGTCCAGATACTGCCACTCCTCCTGGGTGAAATCCACAGCCACGTCCTTGAATGATACCGGTCCCTGCAACAACACATTCCTATTCCAACTAAAGTCATCAATATTGCACCAAATGGAAAAAAAAAAAAAAAAGCATGGCAACTCGTTTAAAGCATGTTCATTATTTGATAATGTTTGCTGAACTTTAGCCCCATTTCATTTTGGGTGATATTATACTAATTTGGTCTCATTCTGTTTCTCTAGCACTATGCTTTGATGCCCATTTTTCTAGTTTTATGTTTCATTTTGTGGGTAACACAAACATCATATTTGAGATACTTTACACTGTTTGTTCATTATTCATTAGGCCATTCATTCACTAAATCATCAAGCAAACATTTACTGAACACTCCATAAATATCTAGAACAGATTGTCCTAGATACAAGGACCAAATATTGAATCTGATCCAATTGGCATGGCACAGAAAAGATACTCACTTGGTACCAAGTTATACAAAGAGAAGAAGGCACCACATCAAACGCTCTTGATAAGTTGTTTTAACAAAGAAATAAAATATTTTAATTGTCAATGCTTCAAAATAACAATGTACTAAATATTTGTTTTGCTACTTTTCATTTTCCTATACTTGTATGATCAACAGTAAGAGGATTTAATGTTGTAACCAAAATTTTTAAAGGTCATAGAACAACTATAACCATTATTAAAAAAAATCCCAGATTATTAAGATTGCTTTGCATGGTTTTAGCTCACATGGTCATTTTTAGTCTTCCATTACTGTTCCTATATAATGGAAAAAACTAACTCTCTTGGGACTTGGTCATTCTCTGCAGCCTTTGGGTGAAGACAGAGATCTATGAATACAGAGGTAAGGGGAAGGAATGGAGCCATGACAGACCAGGTATGACTTGAAGATCCCAGAATCACTGGGAGCATATTTTTCAAAGCCACACAGGGGTGCCTCAGCTGTTGGGTTGAGGAAGCCACTCTGTGGGAGAATGTCTCCTGGGCCCTCCAGAATTCATTGTGAGAAAAATCACAGATTTGCACTAAGATTTGTCTGCAAGAATATCTGTTGCAGCACTTTTTAACACACTGAAAAGTTGGAACAACCTAAGTAACTGGTAAAACAAACAAATACACACTCCAAAGGTAAAGTAATTTATGGTCATCAAAAATGATGCTGCCAGGGCGCCTGGGTGGCTCAGTGGGTTAAAGCCTCTGCCTTCAGCTCAGGTCATGATCCCAGGGTCCTGGGATCGAGCCCCACATCAGGCTCTCTGCTTGGTGGAGAGCCTGCTTCCCCCCCTCTCTCTCTGCCTGCCTCTCTGCCTACTTGTGATCTCTCTCTCTGTCGAATAAATAAATTTTTTAAAAAATGATGCTGCCAAATATTTAACTGCATGTAATGGTAGTTGGTGCCCATCCTTCTCTGACCATTTATTCAGGCATTCCTGTGGATCCTAACCCGGGCTGTAGGAACACAGACAGGTTGGAGTCTGAAGGTAGAATATACCAGCAACAGGTTCTCAGTGGGGCCCAGGAACTGCGGAAGAGACACCAACAGACCCGGGAAATATAATGTCTACATGGTGAGATTCGTGCAACAGTCTTTCTGGAATTTTTCCCAGGGGAGGTGAGATCCCTGTGTTTTAAGCTAAGGGAGAGTAGAGATCAGTTAAATGCTATGTTTTAGATTGGGAGACATATATAGAGTAGAAGATCTGGAGGAAAATATTTGGGCTTGAATTTACCTGCTGGCTATTTGACCTTGGGCAAGTGAGTCAATGTCACCTCTCCAGGATCAGTAAAATTAGAAATAATATCAGTGTTTTATCAGTGATTAAGGTAAGAATCATTGATTAAGGTAACACAAACATATTTTACAAAACAACCTAATGTTAGTATGTTAGTGTGTGTGTGTGTGTGTGTGTGTGTGTGTGTGTCCATGCTGACTGTTCCCTCTACCCAGCACACTCTTCTCTTTCTTTCTTTTTTTAAAGATTTATTTATCAGAGAGACAGAGAGTCAGGGAGGAAGGAGCAAAGGGAGATGAAGAGAATCTCAAGCACACCCCCCAGCTGAGCATGGAGCCAGACACACGGCTCCATCTCATGACCCTGAGATCATGACCTGAGCAGAAAAAAGAGTCAGATGCTTAACCAGATTGAGTCAACCAGGTACCCCCACTCTTCTATTTCTTCAAGTCTTTGCTCAAAAATCACCAAGGAGGCCTCTGCTGTCTACCTAATTTGAACTTAATTCCCCCCATTTCCCTTACCCTGATCTACTTTGTGTATAAATTCTAATATATCATTTACTATCTAATATACTATATGATTATGCTTATTATTAATTGGCTGTCTCTACTTACTAAAAGTAAAATTTCATAACAGCAGGGATTTTTGTCTACTTCATTCAGTACTGTATATTCAGTACTTTATCCCCAGCACCAGAAACAGTGCCTGGTTCATGGATGCCCAATAAATAGTCATTTTTAAAAATACAGTTATATGTAGTAAATTTCATAAAATAAGCCTTATCACAAGGGTATACATATGCAGTATTTTACAGTATTTTACCTATTTTTTAAATGTGCCTGCTTACTGTAGGATTCCATTTATATGATATTCTACAAAGGCAAAATTAACCTATAGAGATAGAAATTGTAAAACTGGTTGGTTTTTAAGGAGATGGGAGGAAGGGCTGACTAAAAAGCAGCAGAACTTTCTGAGGAATTAAAATGTCCCGTATTTTGATGGGGGTGGTAGTTACACGGGTGCATCAACACACTTTACACTTTTGTTCTCTGTAAATTATATGCAAATCATTCTGTGTAAATTATACCGGACCTAAAAGTACTGGCAAATAAAAATACTAGTCTTGGCTCATGAAACAGATTTCACCACTCATACTCACTAGTGGGTTGCAGCCGATGGTCTGAAAAACTGACTTAGAGGGCTGCTGTAAGGGTTAAAGGTTAGATGCCTTTGGAAAAGCAGGCAGCACTCCACCTAGAACATTTCAGACCTTCAGTAAAGCTTGGTTCTGTTTCTGCACCCGGGAGGGCGCTTCTCACCTTAGTGTCCACTACTAGGCGCGCACTGGCACCGCCGGACGCGCTCCAGGCACGACACCTGCAGCGCTACACCAGCAAGAATTCAGTCCCGGGACCTCGCCCACCCCGGGCTCACAGACCCAGATTGAGAAGGGTCGCTGTAGCTTTTGACACCACCCCGATCCACGCGTACCCCAAAGTCTTGCTGAACCCTATTGTTCTTTCCTATCCTCCACGAGCCCGCACCTCCAGCCCCGACCAAGACCAACCAGACACGGTGCTCAGCGCCTCCGTACTCGCCCCCTCCCCTGGGACACTGCCGTGAGAATCAGGAGGGCACACATGCGCGGAAGAGGGCGCCTCGCGCGGGTCTCAAGGGAGCCGGGTCCTTTCGACTGCGAAATACATCTCCCAGAATGCCTGCGCTGCGGCCTGCACATGCGCAGCGAGAGTCCGGGAGAGCGTGTGGTGTCGCGGCACTTTGCAACTTATGCCCGCACTACGTCCCCTCCGGAGGTCTCCAAGCTCTTGCTCCAAATAGACCCAGATGGAGGGTCTAATGGGCGCACTGAGCTAGGAGTCCAGTGACATCGGCAAGACCTCCAACGTTTCGAGAATTCTACCAGTCGTGAGCACGTTTCTTTAAAAGTTTGAGGACTTAACTCTGGAATTTGAGTTTGAGCCCAAAGCCTTTCAAATTTTTGTGGTCAGCCTTTCTGCTTTCGTGAATGGACCTGTGAGTACAGAGTTTTGACGAAAGGGGAAATACGTCTCAGAGATTTCATTAAAATGCCTGTAAATCAAAGTTAACAATGGCATATTTTCTAAGAACACACACAAATTAATTTTGATTGCACAAATATGAAGACCAATAGCTAACTCGTCTGAGTAACAGTAAAAAGAAAAAACTCAGAGGGGCACCTGGTGGCTCAGTGGGGTAAAGCCTCTGCCTTCGGCTCAGGTCATGATCCCAGGGTCCTGGGATGGAGCCCCACATCGGGCTCTCTGTTCAGCAGGGAGCCGGCTTCCCTTCCACCTCTTTGCCTGCCTCTCTGCCTACTTGTGATCTCTGTCTGTCGAATAAATAAATAAAATCTTAAAAAAAAAAAAAAGAAAGAAAGAAAAAGAAAAACTCGAGAAAACCTAGAAACAGTTTTCCTCTACAGGGCAGTTCGATGTTATGAAGATGCTGTGGCTCCACATTGATCTAGTGCCATGTGAATCAGTGCCCTGATAGGTATCTGTAGTTCTAGAGAAATGTTATTTGGCAAAAAAAAAAATAATTTTTGGATGATCACTCCGTGTTGTGCCAGGTTCCTGACTTAAAAGTTACAACAAAAAGAAATACCTAAATAGCATTTACTTGGAGTAAAGAATATGACTAGCAAAATAAAGATTTGTCCTTGGTTACTGAAAGGTAGCCTCTAGATGCTTGGAATTTCCCTAGTAATGTCCCTCCTGGGCCCTAATCATTCATCCTACCTAGATGATTCATGGTGGGCCCTTGGATAGTTAACAGTAAGAAGATGACTCACGGTAGGGGCTGGCCACTCCACAAAGATGTATGCCTAGAGAGTTGGGGTTTTGAATCACAAGATAGCATTTGGTGGACCTCTCAACCTCTGAGGAGCGAACCAGGGTTGGAGATTGTGTTCAGTTTGAAGGTCAGTGATTCAATCATTCATGCCTAGGTAACAAGACCTCAATAAAAACTCTGGACATTGAGCTCAAGTGAACTTCCCTTGTTGGCAATATTATATATATCGTCATATATTGAGGTGTTCAGAGGGTATGACATCCTGACTCAACACAGAGAGGACAACAGATGTTTCATTTTTGTAACCCTTTCCGACCTCACACTATGAGTTTCTCCCTTTGGCTAGTTCTCCTTCATATCCTAATGCTATAATAGAACTGCAATCATGAGTATAGTGCTTTCCTGAGTTCTGTGAGTCATTGAAGTAAATTATTGAAGTATCATAGGGGTACTGAGAATCCCTGAATTTT